TTCATTGTTGGTGGAGATAAAAAATGGGAGAGGAACTTTGGAAGACAGTTTGGCAGTTTCTTACCAACTAAACAGTCTTACCATATGATCTAGCAATGGCGCTCCTGTGTATTTAACCCAAATAAATTGAAAAGTTATGTCCACACAAAAACCTACACACAATTGCGTATAGAATCTTTATTTGTGATCACCAAAACATGGAAGCAACCAAGATGTCCTGAAATAGGTAAATGGATAAACGAACTGTGGCAATTCATACAATGGAGTATTATTTAGCAATAAAAATAAATGAGTTGTCTGGGCACAGCGGCTCCTGCCTGTAATCCCAGCACTTCGGGAGTCGAGGCAGGAGGCTTACTTGAGGCCAGGAGTTTGAGACCAGCCTAGCCAGCATGGCAAAACGCTGTCTCTGCTAAAAATACAAAAATTAGCCGGGCATGGTAGCAAGCACCTGTAAGCCCAGCTACTTGGGAGGCTGAGGCAGGAGAATCACTTGAACCTGGGAGGTGGAGGTTGCAGTGAGTCAAGATTGTGCCACTGCACTCCAGTCTAGGCGACAAGAGTGAAACTCCATCTCAAAAAGTTTAAAACATTAAAAAATTAAAAAAAAATGAGTTATCATGCCATGAAAAGACATGGAGGAACCTTAAACACACATATAAGTGAAAGAAGCCAGGCTGGGTGCAGTGGTTCACACCTGTAATCTCAGCAGTTTGGGAGGTTGAGGCAGGTGGATCACTTGAGGTCAGGAGTTGGAGACCAGCCTGGCCAACATGGTGAAACCCCATTTCTACTAAAAACACAAAATTAGCTGGGTGTGGGAGCTCACACCTATAATCCCACTTACTTGGGGGTCTAAGGCAGGACAACCGCTTGAACCCGGGAGGTGGAAGTTGCAGCGAGCCAAGATCATGCCACTGTACTCCAGCCTGGGCAACAGAGTGAGACACTGTCTCAAAAAAAAAAAAAAGTGACAAAAGTCTGTGGGCGAAGGCCCTCTGAGAAGAGAACTCTGCTCTTTAGGCCTTTCAGAGGTGGGCAGAGCTCGGGAACCGGTTTCTATGGACAGGGGATGCGTTGCTAAGGGACGGAAGGGTGGATGCGGGGCGAGTAACCCGTGGAGCCGGAAGAGAGAGGAAAGGAGATGAGGGGTAGAGATGGGGTTTCATCATGTTGGCCAGGCTGGTCTCGAACTTCTGACCTCAAGTGATCTGCCTGCCTTGGCCTCCCAAAGTGCTGGGATTACAGGTGTGAGCCACCATACCCAGCCTGATGGCATTTTGAAGAATCAATATTTGAGGAATGAGGAGGAAGCTTTGGGGCAGGCAAACTAGGGGGGTGTATAGAGCAGTAACCCAAAGGATGGTAAGTGACAACCCGAAGGTCTGAAGAAGGGTGCTGGGAATGGAAATCAAAGCAAGGGTACCAAAGGGATTTACTGACTGACAATGGCAGAAAAAATCTTAAAGAAGTTAGATGTCCTTGCTAAGCAAGCAGAGATAATCTTGGCCAGAAGAGCAAAGATAAAGAGGTTTCAGAATGAAGGAAGAAAAACAACTATGGCTATACCCCTGACATTTGATTTTCAGTTGGAATTTGAAAAGGATAATGCTACCTCCACATCTAAGGAAATATCAAAGATCAGAGAAGACAAGTCATGTGGCATTACAAAATCAAAAATGTAACTATCATAATTACCTTAAATTTTGAGACAGGGTGTCACTCTTACGGCTTAGGCTAGAGTGTCATGGTGCAAACATAGCTCACTGCAGCCTCAACTTCCCAGGTTTAGGTGATTCTCCCACCTCGGCCTCCCGGGTAGCTGAGACTACAGGCACACACCACCATGTCCAGCTAATTTTTTTGTATTTTTAATCTACATGGGTTTTGCCATGTTGCCCAGGCTGGTCTTGAACTTCTGGCCTCAAGAGATCTACCTTCCTTGGTTTCCCAAAGTACTAGGATTACAGGCATGAGCCACCACACCTGGCCCAGTTCAGAGTTTTAAAACATTACTTTACTTATATTTGTCTTAGATTATGCAATATATATTAAATGAAAGTTGTATGGCAAAAAAAAAAAAAAGCCTGTTAGAATGGCTGCATACTGTATGATTCCAATTTTATGACATTTTGGGAAAGGCAAAACCGTAGAGACAATAAAAAGATCAGTGGTTCAGGAGATGGAGGGAAGGGATAATGAATAGGTAAAGCCCAAGGGACTTTTAGGGAGGTGAAATTATTCTGTACGGTAGAAATTATTCTGTGACATTATGCATTTGTCAAAACCCATAGAATGTACAACGCCAAGAGTGAATCTTGACTGTAGCTTATGGACTTTAGAGTTGTTAATAATAATGTATCAATATTGGTGCATTAATTGTAACAAATACACCATATCAATGCAAGATGTTCATAACATTACCTTAATTTGATCTTTACACATTATATGAATATATTAAATTACCACATACACCCTAAAAATATGTACATCTATTATGCATCAATAAAATAAATAAATAAAAATAAAATTTTAAACATAAATGATTTAAAAAGTTTTTTTAAAGAAGAAAAGAGGCCAGGCGAGGTGGCTCATGCTCGTAATCTCAGCACTTTGAGAGGCTGAGGCGGGAGGATCACCTGAGGTCAGGAGTTCGAGAACAGCTTGACCAACATGGAGAAACCCTATCTCTACTAAAAATACAAAATTAGCCAGGCGTGGTGGTGCACACCTGTAATCCCAGCTACTCAGGAGGCTGAGGCAGGAGAATCACTTGAACCTAGGAGGTGAAGGTTGAGGTGAGCCCAAATTGCGCCATTGCACTCCAGCCTGGGCAACAAGAGCAAAACTCCATCTCAAAAAAAAAAAAAAAAAAAAGAAAGAAAGAAAAAGAAAATCCTGGCAAACTAGTGGTCTCTGAGTGGCCAGTCTCACTGCATGCTTGTATCGCACACGCGTTTGCAGCCGTGGATTCACTGCAGTTTTATAAAGAGGGCAAGCATCTGACAGCTTCATGTACCATCAATATGAACACATTCATACATATTGTGTCCTTACTAAATAATTTCCTTTATGACTCCTCTGCAGTACAATCAGGATATTATATCGACATCAAATGTTTTTGTGTATAAGTAGGTTTTGCTCTATATGAATTGCATTGCAGGATAGTAACAAAATATTTATTACAAGGATGATGAAATTCGCCCCAGCTGACTGCCTGTCCTTTGAAATGAAATCTCAACTCCTTACTCAGCCCTCAGGCTTGCCATAACCAGCCTGGCTGCTGTAGAGACTCTGTCCCCTCCTCCCACCAATGCCGGCCAATGGAATCTATTTGTATGTCCCAGAATGTGTCAGCACTCTCTTGTCCCTTGTCTTGGGACAGGCTGTTCTCTCCCTGAAATGCCCTCATCCTCTCCCTTCACTGTCTCAACAAATACAGTGCTCCCCAACCTCCATTCTTCAAGTCCTTCCTTCACAACCTGTGCCATAGGGGGCTGCCCCAGCGTCCTCACTTGGTTTTCTTTAAATGACTCATTTTCCATAAATAAATTGATTTTTCAAAGAAAAGTTGATATGATCATAAATAGGAAACTAGTCTGAGTAACCCTGAAAATACAGTTGCCATAAAAATAATATAAGGAAAATACAAGTTAATAACTTTTGATAGAATTGTCAGCAGTTGCCCTGAGGCTGAGGGATAGGGATGGGGGTGGGCAGATTAAGAAATGTTAGCAACCTGTTAACACCCTTGACATATTCAGAAGCTTGAAAGAATAACTTTCTTTTCTAGCCTGATTTCATGCTGTCCTTGTTCTCCCTAAAATCACCTGCATGTTACTACAACCCATTTATCACTCAGTGGCGCTAGAGGCTGCCGGTAAACCAGTGGACCAGACAAGCACAGTCTTTGCCCTTCCAGACTCACAGTCGGCTGGTGGAAAAACACAAACAACCTGGGAATGGCTATAAAATGTCATTGCTTAAGAAAATAGTTTGTGGCTGGAAGCGGAGGCTCACGCCTGTAATCCCAACACTTTGGGAGGCTGAGGACTGCGATCACCTGAGGTCACAAGTTCAAGACCAGCCCGGCCAGAAGACGAGTTCTAGACTAGCCTGGCCATCTCTTTAGTAGAGGTGGTGAAACCCCGTCTCTACTAAAAATACAAAAATTAGCTGGGCGTAGTGGCGCGTGTCTAGTCACAGCTACTCGGGAGGCTAAGGCACCTGCACCGCTTGAACTTGCCTGAGAGGCGGAGGTAGAGATGGCGCCACTGCATTTCCGCCTGGGCGACAGAGCCAGACTCCGGGGGGAGGGGGGGGAATGAAAGAAAGAAAGAAAGAAAGAGAAAATAGTTTGCGATTTAGGGCCTCTCACTTCTCCAGCGTCCCGGATACGCCCGGGATTGTAGAGAACCCGCACCTATTCGAAGATCATAAGAGTAGGAGCAAATTAATGATTTCTAATCTTTTCAAAGCTTTTTTTTTTTTAAACAGAAAAAAAAAGTGGGGAGTGGGTGCATCTCACTATATTTAATGCGATGTGGCGTGGGACCGCCGAAAGTAATGCTGTTTTTTCCAGGCACTCCCGGGGACCCAGCTAGGCGAAGCCCGCCAGGACTGCGGGCGAACCGCGGCGGCTCCGGCCGGGCTCGGGTTACACTCTAGGAGGGGCTCCGCAGCGGCTCCCTAGTTAGGGGTCTCCCCCGTGCGCTCCGGCGTTAGGGGTCGCAGGAGCGGCTCTGGCATCATCTAGGAGCTGGCGAAGAGGGAAGAGTCCCGCGCCAGGGCTGCCCCCAAAGAGCTCTCAGCGGGGGGTGGGGGTGAGGTTACTCCCTGCCCCTCCCGCCGCCTTCCCCTCCCCCGCAGGGATCCGGGACCCGCGCCCGCGGAGGGGACCGGGGCTGCGGGGAGGGGCTGTGCCGGCAGGGAGGTGGGGCGGGGCCCGAGCCGGAGTCCTGAGTCCCTGCGGCGGGTGGGGGATGGAGACAGGGGTGGCGCGACCCTCTGTCCCCGCCCCGGGGGCGGAGCCCAGGTCCCAGCCTGCGGAGCTCCAGACTAACCGAAATCCGCCCGGGGCTCCCTGCGCGGCTCCCGCCGCCCCGCACCGAGATTTGGTGAGACCCGCCCCCCGGCCCCGGGTCCTGCGGCCCTCGGCACCTGCGCAGGTGCAGGTGCGGCTTCCCCGCCCCTTTCACCCAGGCGCACCTGCAGCGGCGGCCATGGCACGAGGAGACGCCCCGCGGGACAGGTGAGTGGGCTGGGGTGGGTACGGACTGGGACCCGAGTGGCCAGGGGCGTTGCAGACCGGATCCCTGGAAGCGCTCCGAGGCTCAAAGAAGACCGGATCGAACTACAATTCCCATCAGCCGACTCCCTCGGCCGCCGGAGCCGGGGTGATGGGGGTTGTAGTCCGCTCCGGAGGGGGCGGCCTGGGAGGCGGGAGGGCCCGCGGAGGCGGGTGCGTCCTCGGGGTGACCTTCCCCACCGATCCCCACAGCTACCACCTGGTCGGGATCAGCTTCTTTATCCTGGGTCTGGGCACCCTTCTTCCCTGGAACTTCTTCATTACCGCCATCCCGGTGAGACTCGCGGTGGAGTGGCAGCCCGTGGCCACAGCCAGCACCCCTCCCTCCCTCCCGCCCTTTAGGATGAGGTTTATACGGGCGCTTCACCGCGCGCCTGTGACCCCTCTTGTGCTCATTGTGTACTGAAGCTCGGAGCCTCAGAGAGGGGAATGCTTCCCCAATGGCTAGGAAAGCAGAAATTCAGGAATGCCCGCATCGCAGAGGAGCAAGGCCACCAGCCCACGGGGTCTGGCACGAGCCAAGGCGCTGCCTGCTTACTTCCTCTATGTGTTGCTATTCCTGAGTCAGTCACCCCAAAAGTCGGTTACTGAACCTTTGATTTTCTTTGAAATACCATGAATAACATTCATTCATTCATTCAACAAACTGTACACCTACTGTGGAGCAGGCACTGGGGACACAGGAGGAAACAGCAGGGAGGCTCTTCAGGAAAGGCAGGAATGTAGGGTTTGCATTGTCTTTGGGACCGGGTAATTCATCTGTATTCATTGCAACAAAGATGCCTCTTGGGTACCTGGCTCTGTGCTGGGACTTGGAAACCCAGAGACGAATCAGCCCCTGGTCTTGTGAGCAAGAGGGGGCCAAAGAGCTATTAGTAATGTAACATGATTCGTGCCATCCCAGGCTTGCAGGGGGTCCCCAGGGGTGGGAGAAAGTTCCTTCGGCTTTGTGGAAGAGATTTGTAAGTTGGGAGTAGGGCTGGCAGAGTGCATAAGGAGGGGTGTGGCCTTGAGGGCATTCCAGGCAGCGGTGACAGCCATGCCAAGGCAGACAGGCAAGAGAGAGCCAGCCTGTTGAGAGAGAGATCCAGAGCCAGGACTGCCTGGAGCTTAGCAGGATGGAGCAGAAGATGAGGTACAAAGGGAGATTGGGATCTGATTCTGAAGGGCTATTTTATGTGGGCCTTTGCCCTGCAGGCATCGGGGAGGCATGGAGCACGGTATTGAGGTTAAGCAGAGGAATGGCAGGCTATGTGCTCTAGAGAGAATGCAGTTGGTCAGCACCTAGGCCAGAGCCCGGCTGACGTAGGTGCACAGTAAATACCCGTGGAATGAATGAATCTAGCAGCTGCTGCAGGAGTAGAGGTGGGGGCTGGAACCAGGGCACTGAAGAGGAGTGGCCGTCCAAGGCCGGATCAAGGCTTGTGTTGGGGTCTCCTAATACTTGGGATCTGTCCCAGACTTCAGTATTCAACTTAGCACATATTCATGAAGGGAGCTCTGACTGTGTGCTGCTGGGTGCTGGGGACAGAACAAGGACTTGGCAGACAAGCCCCAGCAGACATTAGGAAGCCATAAGTGACGGGGAAGGTGGTGGGGGAATGCTGAGAGGTGCTGACCCTCCATCACCTCCCCACCTGGCAGTACTTCCAGGCGAGACTGGCAGGAGACAGCAATAGCACAGCCAGGACCCTGAGCACCAACCACACGGCCCCCGAGGACGCCTTCAACTTCAACAACTGGGTGACGCTGTTGTCCCAGCTGCCCCTGCTGCTCTTCACCCTTCTCAACTCCTTCCTGTACCAATGGTGAGAGGCCTGCCCTGGCTCCTGTGCCCCCTGCCGAGGCAGCTTCATTTGGGCCCAGGAAGGCCTCCACACCCCTGACTCCCACCCCTATCCCCCCCCCAGCCCTACTGTCCAGCTCCATTGCTGAACCTCCTTCCCCAACTTCCTCTGGCCTGGGCCACACTGATCCACTCTGCCCCCTCTGAGCAGCATCCCGGAGACAGTGCGCATTCTGGGCAGCCTGCTGGCGATACTGCTGCTCTTTGCCCTGACGGCAGCGTTGGTCAAGGTGGACATGAGCCCCAGACCCTTCTTCTCCATCACCATGGCCTCCGTCTGCTTCATCAACTGTGAGCATCTCTGCCCCATCCCCAGCCAGCCCATGCAGGGCTTCAGCCTGGCCTCCTCATCTCTGAAAGGGCCCAGCATATCTGAGAAGGGAAGACAGCCTCATAGTTGCTCATATCCCTAGTGAAGAAACTGAGGCCCAGAGGGAGAGGAAGAGTCACTTGTCCAGGCCTCACAGTGCCCTAGGAGCAGGCCTCCTGGTCGACAGCTCCACAGACCAATGGCTGCACCTCAGAAGAGGACTGAATGGCAGGTGTTGCCCCGAGTGCCCAGAGTCCCTAGGGAAGCTCACACCTGCTCAACCTTGTCCAGAGTCCCCTGTGCATCCAGCGGACACCTCCTCCAGCAAGCCTCTGAGGCCTGCCCAGTTGAGCACCAGCCCCCATCCCTGTCCCTCCGCAGCCTTCAGTGCAGTCCTACAGGGCAGCCTCTTCGGGCAGCTGGGCATCATGCCTTCTACCTACAGCACCCTCTTCCTCAGCGGCCAGGGCCTGGCTGGGATCTTTGCTGCCCTTGCCATGCTCCTGTCCATGGCCAGTAAGTGCAATTGAGTGGCTGGAGGGCTGGGGTGGCCTCTGAGGTTTGGGGAGCAGAGAGGGCATGTGAGAGCAAGAACCTGGGTTCTGAGTGAAGATGGAGGTGAGGGGGTGATATGGAAATGGGGATTGGGTCTGGAGCTAGGGAGTGGGGCCCATGGGCCCTGGAAGTGGAGGAGGAGTAATAACCAAGTGAGGACCGGGTTAATTCAGGGCCAGGGGCAGGATTCCTGCGGCCAACACTGGCATGTGACAGCAAGTGTTGAAGTTGAAGGATGAGGGGATGGGTTTGGGATTCAGGTAGACTTGGGTTTGAATCAGCTTCAGTTCTCATTAGCTGGGGGCATTGGACAAGGCTTGTCACCTCTGTGCTAGTTTCTCCACTTGTGTGATTGTTATAGCTCCCTGCTTAGATTGTAATGAGCACGCAATACGAGAAGGCTCCTGGCACATAGTATGTGCTCAACAGAAATGATGCATAGAGAAAAGTGAGAGAAGTGTAGGGCTGCTCTGGGGCCCTGTACAAGGTTCCCAAGTCTGTCAGTGAAGGGTGGAGTGGAAGAGGCTGGGAGTGGGTCTGAGAAGTGCACAGTGGGAAATGGGACAGGAGGTGGGAGCCCTGTGGGAGCCGGCGGGACCAGGTACCTCTCTCTGCAGCTGACGTTTCTCTGCAGGTGGTGTGGACGCCCAGACATCCGCCTTGGGGTACTTCATCACGCCCTGTGTGGGCATCCTCATGTCCATTGTGTGTTACCTGAGCCTGCCTCACCTGGTAAGCCTGCTGTTGGGCTCGAGTCCCCACCTCAAAGCATCTCCGACGAGTCCTGAGTCTGAGGCCCTGAGAAAGGCCAGGGGAGGCAAAGGACACCTGGCCTCAGCCCTGACGGCTAGAGAAGATGCTGAGGGACTCCAGCCTCTAGACCAATGGTGTGGGGAGGGATCCAGACACCTCAGTCAAGCCAGGCAGGCCCAACACTTTCCTGTCCTCTGCAGAAGTTTGCCCGCTACTACCTGGCCAAGAAACCATCCCAGGCCCAAGCTCAGGAGCTGGAGACCAAAGCTGAGCTCCTCCATTCCGGTAAGCCCTGAGACCCTTCTGGGGAAGTGGGAGATGCAGGGGAAGCTAGAGCCACTTCCCCTGGGAACCAGTTCCCTCTGCAGCCGGAGCCCACCCCAGCAGCCTTGTGCAAATAGGAAGATCATGATGGGCAGCTGGGAAGGGTAAAGTTCTCCCTGCTGTTCTTCAGGCCTCTTTCCACCTCTATACAATGAGGAGGCAGTAGAGCTTCCATACCTGCAAATTTTGGATCCAAAGACCTCTGAATTTGAATCCTGGTTTCACAACATCTCAGCTATGTGCCTGAGATGAACACTTAGCCCCTGCACCCCACTGAACCTCCAAGTGTTGTAAAGCAATGGTCATGAGATAATCCATCTAAGGTGCTTCGCTCATGCCTGACCCATGCATGCGCTTCCTGGTAGCTATGCCTTTCCATCGTGAATTCCCTTCGCCTGCAGCCTGGGTTGGAGGAAGATCACTGGTTTTTTGTTTTGGTTTGGTTTTGAGGCAGGATCTCACTCTGTCTCCTGGGCTGCAGTGCAGTGGCACAATCATAGCTCACTACAACCTCAATCTTCTGGGCTCAAGTGATCCTCCTGTCTCAGCCTCCCAAGTAGCTGAGACTATAGGTGCAGGTCACCATGCCCGGCTAATTTTTGTATTTTTGTAGAGATGGGGATTCACCATGTTGCCCAGGCTGGTCTCGAACTCCTGGGCTCAAGCAATCTGCCCACCTTGGCCTACCAAAGTGTTGGGATTACAGGTGTGAGCCACCGTGCCTGGCCAAGGATCACTTGTTTTAACTGCTGGGAATTTCTCTGTAGGGCCTAGAGGTCGGGAAACCTGGGTCACAGGATGACCCTTCCCCCTCCCCGCTTGCCCCAGATGAGAAGAATGGGATTCCCAATAGTCCCCAAAGGGTAGCTCTGACCCTGGATCTTGACCTGGAGAAGGAGCCGGAACCGGAGCCAGATGAGCCCCAGGAGCCAGAAAAACCTTCAGTTTTCATTGTCTTCCAGAAGGTTTGGCTTGGATATAGCCCCCAACCACCATCCCTGGGGAAGAATGGGTCTTACATTGTCTTCCCCAAGGTCATAGGGTCATAGTGGGTCAGGGACACAGCTGGGCCAGGCCCCAAGTGTCCTGCTCCCGGAATGGGCTTCAGCCAGAGGGTGGGGCCCTGGGACTGCCCTGCTTGCTCACACCCCTGCCTCTGGCTCCCAGATCTGGCTGACGGCGCTGTGCCTTGTGTTGGTCTTCACAGTCACCCTGTCCGTCTTCCCCGCCATCACAGCCATGGTGACCAGCTCCACCAGTCCTGGGAAGTGGAGTGAGTGTAGGGGTGCAGAAGCCGACAGGGCAGGGAGCACAAAGGGAAGAGGAGGGGTGAGGGGAGTTGGGGACCACTATGAGCTGCAGCCCTTTCCCTCGCAGGTCAGTTCTTCAACCCCATCTGCTGCTTCCTCCTCTTCAATATCATGGACTGCCTGGGACGGAGCCTGACATCTTACTTCCTATGGGTAAGCACACCGGGGCTGGGTGATCTGATGTTTCAGGAAGCAGTTTGGGATCTGAGGGCTTGAAAGAGCATGGAGGGGATTTTCCAGTAGTCCAAGTGGCCTGGCAATGGAACCACTGGCCAACCACCAGGGAGCACCTGGGCCCTGGAGGTGTGCAGGCCAGGGCTTGCACTGTGAGCTCCTTGAAAGCAAAAGTCATGTCCAGCTGACCTCTGTGTCCCCAGCATCCAGCCTTCGCTGCTCAGAGAATGTTACATGGAGGTTCCTGCACCAGGTGAGGGACTGAGCAAGTCTTAGTTTTGGGGTTGGTTTTTGCCATGGTGCTGTATCTTTAAATGAAATCTTCCAAAAAGACAATAAATAAAGCAGACGAAAGAGGAACTGCTCTGATCCAAGTCAGGACAGGAGCTGATCTACTGCTTCTAATCCCACTCAGAAACCCCAGCTGCTCCCAGAGGGGTCTGTGCAACCCCCAGGGGTGCTCTGAGGAACTACGTGAGTACAGTGTAGGTGTTGTGGATGTAAGGTTTATTGCCGAGTTTAAAATGAGGAAACTGAGGCCAGTATAAGAAAATGAAAATCCAATTTATTCAGCTCCCGGGCGAGATTCCATGGTCCCGGGGAAAGGGGGCAGGAAAGTCGCGCCAACTTCCTGGGGCGTGGGGTTTTTATGGCTAGAAGGAACGAGCAACAGCTGGGCGCTCTGATGAACTCCAGGGGAGCCGGATTGAGATGGGGCAGGCTGCCATTGGTTGGCGGGTTTTCTGGTGGGAAAGCCGGCCAGGAGCCTTGCATCAGCTAGAGCCTTCCAGGGGAGCCATGCGGCAGAGCTAGGTGCCGAGTGCAGAGCCTGGTGCCGGGTGCAGAGGTGGGTGTGTCCAACCTCCTGGCGAGGCAACCAGCCTTACAGTGGAGAGCAGAAGCTAGAGCCTGGGAGAAGCAGAGGTGAGCCCCTGGCCAATCCCTGATTGCTGGGTGGCCTCTGCCCAGGCCCCAACACTGAGTCTACTCTCACTGGCTCACAGGGCAGGTCAGAAGAGGTTAGAGAGTGACAGATGGGTCTATCCTATGGGTGGGCCAGGTGTGGTGGCTCACACCTGTAATCCCAGCACTTTGGGAGGCCGAGGCAGGTAGATCACAAGGTCAGGAGTTAGAGACCAACCTGGCCCACATGATGAAACCACCTCTCTCTCTACTAAAAATATAAAAATCACCCAGGCATGGTGGCACATGCCTGTAATCCTGGCTACTTGGGAGGCTGAGGCAGAAGAATTGCTTGAACCCAGGAGGTGGAGGCTGCAGTGAGCCAAGACTGAGCCACTGCACTCCAGCCTGGGTAATAGAGCAAGATTCCGTCTCAGAAAACAAAAACAACAAAACAAAATCCTAACACTTTGGGAGGCCAAGGCAAGAGGATCGCTTGAGCTCAGGAGTTCAAAACTAGCCTGGGCAACACAGTGAGACCTTGTCTGTACATATACACCCACACACACATTTTTAATAAAAAAAAAGGGGGGGGCGGATGCGGTGGCTCATGCCTATAATCCCAGCACTTTGGGAGGCTGAGGCGGGTGGATCGCTTGAGGTTAGGAGTTCAAGACCAGCTGGCTAACATGGTGAAGCCCCATCTACTAAAAATAGAAAAATTATCTGGGCATGGTGGTGGCAGGCACCTATAGTCCCAGCTACTCAGGAGGCTGAGGCAAGAGGATTGCTCGAACCCAGGAAGTGGACGTGCAGTGAGCTGAGATCAGGGCCACTGCACTTTAGCCTGAGAGACAGAGTGAGAGTCTATCTTGAAAACAAGGTACCCTCTGGGTGTTGTGAGATGGCCTGGAGCATAGACCTGGCTCCAGGGACCACACTGACCCCAGCCTCTGCCACAGCCAGACGAGGACAGCCGGCTGCTGCCCCTGCTGGTCTGCCTGCGCTTCTTGTTCGTGCCCCTCTTCATGCTGTGCCACGTGCCCCAGAGGTCCCGGCTGCCCATCCTCTTCCCGCAGGATGCCTACTTCATCACCTTCATGCTGCTCTTTGCCATTTCTAATGGCTACCTGGTGTCCCTCACCATGTGCCTGGCGCCCAGGTCTGGGGGAATGGGGTGGTGTGGGGGCTGAGAGTGGGGAAGTGGGTTTCTTCTCTGGGGAGGGACAGCCTTCGAGGGAGGGAGGATTCGTCCTGCTTCTGGCCAGCCCAACCCTAGCTGTTCGTGGGCCTCGCTGGCTCCCCCTGCCGGGCAAGGCCTTAACTGCAGGGGAGAGGAGAACTGGGCGAGAGAGTTACCTGCCCAGCAAAGTAGCCCAGGCACTGGTTCTCGGTCCCCCTCGATGGGCCTCAGTTTCTCCATCTGTAAAATAATGGGCTGAACTGTTATCCCTCAGGGCCCATCAGGCTCTAAAATTCTCAGTTTGAGGAGAGCTAAGGTATTATGTGTTTTTTGAGACGGAATCTTGTTCTATGGCTCAGGCTGGAGTGCAGTGGGAGTGATCTCCCCTCACTGCAACCTCTGCCTCCCAGGTTCAAGCAATTCTGCCTCAGCCTCCTGAGTAGCTGGGACTACAGGCGTGCACTGCCACACCTGGCTAATTTTTATATTTTTAGTAGAGACGGAGTCTCACGGTGTTGGCCAGGATGGTCTTGTTCTCCTGACCTTGTGATCCGCCCGCCTTGGCCTCCCAAATTGCTGAGATTACAGGCGTGAACCACCGCGCCCGGCTGAGAGCTAAGGTTTGACCAAAAACAAGGTTCATGGGCCATTTCCTCAAGGGGCAATGCAGTGGAGAATCCAGAGAGAATGAAACTGACAGGGTGGGGGCACTGTGGAAAGGGTAGGCTGTGGAATCTGGAATCCCATAATGTTGGACCCAGAGGCCCTGAGAGATGTCCTTGTCCAGCAGCTTCCTTTACATACCAGGAAACTGAGGCCCAGAAAGAAGGGGCTACTTATGGTGACACAAGGGTTGGGTCAGAGGCCCAGACTGGACGGGCAGAGGGCAGTGGAGCTGGGTCTAGGTTTGGGCCCAGTGTTTTCTAAGAGCTCCTGTTCCCGGTGTTCCAGGCAGGTGCTGCCACACGAGCGGGAGGTGGCTGGCGCCCTCATGACCTTCTTCCTGGCCCTGGGACTTTCCTGTGGAGCCTCCCTCTCCTTCCTCTTCAAGGCGCTGCTCTGAAGCAGTCCCTCCAGGATCTTTGGCAGCCTCTTCTCGAAGTCTCCTTCTGGAGCTGAGATCCAGCCCAGGGTGAATGGCAAGCTCGGCTCAGGCTTCTGCTGGGCAGGGGAGCCTGGGCCTGGGGTTGCCAGCAGGGGCCAGGAGCTGCTCTCTAACCCTTGGAGTGCTGTGGGGAAGAATTCACCCTGGGTCATTCTAACCCTCACCCAGGAATGGAGGTGACTCGCACAAGACCTCGTGGAAAGGGTGATGACCAGGGACAAGTGGGAGCAGTACACAGCTGCTCCCCACCATCAGCTCTGCCTATGTTCATCATCACCAGGAGCAGAGGCGACCAGAGGGTTCAGAGTGGGAGGTGGGGCCAGTCCAGCGCAGGAGCTCCTCATCTTCCCAGGCTTCAGCAACCCAGGGTAAAAGATGCCAGGGACATTGCGGGGACCTGGGAGGAGGAACAGGTGTTGAGGACCTGAGGGTGCTCAAAGCGCTAGGCTCAGCCTCAAGCAGTATTTTCATTGCCAACACTTACTGTCCCCTCTTTCCAGAGCCCAGCTGGGTCTGGGCCCCAGAACCGCAGCCAGCCTGCATGTGTGCACTGCACTTTACAGTTTGCAAAGCTCTTCCATACCCACTCTCTCACTGAAGCCTAATTGAGGACCTTGGAAGGAGCTGAACAAAGATTGTGCTTCCCCCATTATACAGGGGAGGAAACTGAGTCCTGGGGGAAGTGACTGGTTTGTGGTAGAGCTGGGACTCAGTCCCGTCTCCCTCCTCCCTGTAGGTGCTGTTCTTCCTGCCCAACACCTGTTTTTCTTTTCCTTAAGGGGTTCGGGGCAGGAGCCCTGGGCTCTCACTCTCCTTTTTGCTGTTTCTCCTTCTGTGGACCCTGCTCCTGGGTCTAATAACAACCCCATTTATTTGTATAATGCGTTCACCAAGTTTTTATTTCTGAAGTGCCGTTGGCTCTATTGGCCTCAATGACTCGGGTGGGGTCAGAAAGACTGTACCCCCTTGACAGGTGGGATGACTGAGGCCCCGGGAAGGGCAGGGATTGGTGAGCATCTCTGTGCTGGGTCCTCTGGACCACATGATAGCTGGGGGGTGCTGACCTGCAAGGAACCCGGAGCTCCTGGGCAGAACACTTGGTTGGATGGACAACTGTTGCTCTCCCCCACCCCGCGCCATGAGCCCCTGGGCTCTCACTGGCATCCTCTGCCTCCCCAGGGTTGTTCCTCCTCAGAAATCTAGCTTTAGTGAGGCAGTTGGCCTGGGCAGGGCTTTGGCGGCCCCACCAATTCTGAAGTCAGAGGGTGGAAAGGCCTGCTTCACCACACGCCTGGCTACCCTGCCCGTCCCAGACAAAAGCAAGGCTTTTCTGCCCACCTGCCTTTGTGAACATCCACCGAGCACCTATTAGACAGGTGCTCAGCACACGGTACCTGCTCAGAAGCCAGGGGCTCTTTCGGCATCAAAGAGGAAGATAGGCAAGATATGACCTTGGTTGCTGAAATAAGCCACAGGGCAGACCCCAAGTAAGGATTCATTCCTTTCAGCACTGTTCACAGACAGCTGCCCCAGACTAGGCCCTGCCTGGTCTGAAGACCCTGAAACACAGGGAGAGACAGTCCCCACTCCCAAGGCCATGGAAGCCAGATGTAACTTGTGATACGGCTTATAAGGGTCCTGCAGAAGCATGTCGAGGGAGCTGCTGATTCCACCTGAGAATTCAGGGCAGGATTTCCGGAGGAGGATGAATATGAGCTTGCTAGTCTGAGGTGGAGGAGGGGCAGAAGCAGAGAAGCCACAGAGGAGGTGATCCCCACAGTCCAGCGGGTGGCGACGGGGCATAGACAGTGGCTTAGAGAGGAGGAAGGATACAGGAGACACAAGGGAGGCTGCCTCTATGGAGGCCACCTAACCTTGTGGTTAAGTGCATGCATGCTGACCTAGAGTCCTGGGTTCAAATCCAGACCCTTTTCTTTATGAGTGGAGGCAGCTGGAACCTGCCTGAGCTGGAGTCCTGGAGTGAGACTGGAGCTAGAGCACCAGCTCTGATGATGTTAGGGAGACGGCTGTCAGAGTCCTAGGAGTCTCTTGCAAGACCAGGAGGCCTAGCTGTGCTCTTTGACTGCAATTGTTGGGGCAAGACCCCAGCACTTGATGGATCCCCTTCTCCTTCTCCACCTTCAGAGGAGAGTACAGTTGTTGTTTGTGTACCTAAAAGTTCCCTAGAGGCTGGGTGTAGTGGCTCATGCCCGTAATCCCAGAACATTGAGAGGCAAGGCAGGTGGATCACCTGAGGTCCAGGAGTTCGAGACCAGCCTGACCAACATAGAGAAACCCCATCTCTACTAAAAATACAAAATTAGCCAGGCGTGGTGGTGCATGCCTATAGTCCCAGCTACTCGGGAGGCTGAGGCAGAAGAATCCCTTGAACCTGGGAGGCGGAGGTTGTGGTGAGCCGAGATCACGCTATTGCACTCCAGCCTGGGCAACAGGAAACGAAACTCTGTCTCAAAAAAAAAAAGCTCCCTAGACCTGCCAGATCCACCTGGGACCAGGAAGGCAGATACCCACCTGCCCACCTCACAGGCCAGACAGTTCCAGGAAACCCACTGGGGCCACCGTCACCCACAGCAAGACCAGGGTCAGGCTGGGTAGTGGAGGATGGGGCCCAAAAAGAAGATACTCGCCCCTTGGGTGTCCTTATGATGTCACAACCTGGGATTCCATCTTCCCATCCTCCTTCCCAGTAGACCCAGCGAGACTTTCTTATCAGCTCAGGGTGTAGGGGCTTTGATGCTGGAAATAAATTCTTGGGCTGCTTGGCTACACTTGCCTGCCCCTCGCCTGTCCCTCGCCTGACACCTAGTCCCCAGCTTCTGCCTCCCCATCCTGTCACAGCTCTGCCAAAAGGCCCGGATTCCCTCAGAAGCAGCCAGTTTCCATCAGCAAATACTTGCACTGCACAGGGTACTGGGCTGGGCTCAGTGGACAGACACGTCCTTACCCTCAGGTTGCTGACTGTTTCATGGAAGAGGAAGCTGGTAGTTAGAATTCTACTACATGAGGCCACGCACGGTGGCTCACACCTGTAATCCCAGCACTTTGAGAAGCTAAGGCAGGCGGATCACTTGAGGTCAGGAATTTGAGACCAGACTGGCCAAAATGGTGAAACTCCGTCTCTACTAAAAAAAATACAAAAATTAGCCAGGTGTGGTGGCGAGCACCTGTAATCCCAGTTACCCTGGAGGCCAAGGCAGGAGAATCACTGGAACCCTAGAGATGGAGGCTGCAGTAAGCTTAGATCACGCCACTGCACTCTAGCCTTGGTGACAGAGCAAGACCCCATCTCAGGCACTGTGCCTCACACCTGTAATCCCAGCACTTTGGGAGGCCAAGGTGGGAGGATCACAAGGTCAAGAGATCGAGACCATGCTGGCTAACATGGGGAAACCCTGTTTCTGCCAAAAATACAAAAATTAGCTGGGCATGGTGGCGGGTGCCTGTAGTCCCAGCTATTTGGGAGGCTGAGGCAGGAGAATCATTTGAACCCGGGAGGCAGAGGTTGCAGTGAGCCGAGATCACGCCACTGCATTCCAGCCTGGCAACAGAGTGAGACTCCCTCCATCTCAAAAAAAATGTTTCTACTACATGAAAAGCATTTTACATTTGTTATCTGCTTTTCTACCTGCTTTAACACGTCAGATGTTGTCAGAGTTCAGCCCTTTTTGAGTGGCCCCAGAGGCCTCCCTACCTAACCCTCGTGCCCTGCTTTGTATGGGAATGGCATCTCTGGCCAGGGCTGACTGGACCAGGGCTGGGGTCTGAGCCATAGCAGCCACCCACTGACCAGCAGCCTATGAGGTTGCCTGGTCCAGCTTCCCTGATGAGAGGAACCAATCAGATAATCTCTCTTGGGAGAATGAAGCTACAGCACGAGTGGGGGTTGTCTAGAGGTTACTGGCACATTAGAATAGGTCATAGGCAGGGTCAAGGTCACAGGCAGGGTCATCAGCATAATAGAATGGGGCATTGATATCCTAGATGGAGCCGGTGGCATCCTTGTTCTTCTCTTTCTTTTTCTCAGGATTTCTTGAACTAACTACTGTTGACTGAGGTCACCTGGCTAGACTCCACCCTCCCTTTTTTTTTTTTTTTTTTTGAGATGGAGGCTTGCTCTGTTGCCAGGCTTGAGTGCAGTGGTTTGATCTCGGTTCACTGCAACCTCCACTTCCTGGGTTCGTTATTCTCCTACCTCAGCCTCCTCAGTAACTAGGATTACAGGCATGTGCCACGGTGCCCAGCTAATTTTTTTTGTATTTTTATTAGAGACGGGGTTTCACCATGTTGGCCAGGCCGGTCTTGAACTCCTGACCCCAAGTGATCTGCCCGCCTTGGCCTCCCATAGTGTTGCAATGCCACTGTGCCCCACCTGGACTCCCTTTTCATTGCAGCCCCAAAGAGTTTGTGAAGCAGAAGCTCTGGGCATATCCCATTTTACAGATGAATAAACTGAGGTTCCATAGGGCTTAATATTAATAGAATGTAGGCAAAGGTAGTAAAACAGACAGCCTCAAGGGCCTGTGCCCTTAAAAAAAAAATATTAACAAAAAAAATTTTTTAAATGAAAAAGAAAAAACCAAATTAAAAAAATACTGAAAAAGTGAGCAACAACTGTTGGCACCACCTTTGTGGGAACTCTGGAAGGTAAAGATTTACAACAACCCAGCAAGTGCTGAATCGGGAAAGCGGCAGCTTGAAAATACTGAGTGCTTTGCAGTATTTTACCCGGGCTTGCCCCATCTCCCTTCTGGATTGGGGGTGGTGTGAAGATGGCATTCCCAAGGTGAGAACCTGGCCTTTTTTTTTTTCTTTTTGAGATGGAGTTTCGCTCTTGTTACCCAGGCTGGAGTGCAATGGTGCGATCTCAGCTCACCGCAACCTCCACCTCCTGGGTTCAGGCAATTCTCCTGCCTCAGCCTCCTGAGTAGCTGGGATTACAGGCATGCGCCACTGTGCCCAGCTAATTTTTTGTATTTTTTAGTAGAGACGGGGTTTCACCATGTTGACCAGGATGGTCTCGATCTCTTGACCTCGTGATCCACCCGCCTCGGCCTCCCAAAGTGCTGGGATGTCCTGGCCTTTTTTTCAATACAGCAAAGCAGACTTTGTTCTAGAAAGATTGTACCTATCAGTTCTGGCCTGTGCGAGGGCTACCAAAAGCACCGAAGCCAGACACTTGCTTATGTTTTGCCTAACTCAGAAATCTCTCAGAATGCAAAAGCTTCTACTTAGAAGACAGCTTTCCGAAATACTGAAAGGCAAATGAAAAACCCACTGCTGTCTGGAACAAAGATTGCAGTTTCCATGAACAACAGACAAGCTGAAAGGGTGCAAGGAAAGGCTGGGGAGAGATTCTTTTGGGAACTGAAAAGCTCCCATAAATATCAAGGAATTTAGAAAGCCTTGTACACGCAAGGCAAGATGCATGCTCAGAAAAGACTCAAGAAGTCCAGGCCTGGTGGCTCACGCCTGTAATCCCAGCACTCTGGGAAGCCAAGGCAGGAGGATCCCTTGAGGCCAGAAGTTCAAGACCAGCCGGGGCAACACAGCAAGCAAGACTCCATCTCTACTAAAATAAAATAAAATAGCAAGGCACATGGTGGTACGTGCCTGTAGTCTTAGCTACTTGGAAGGCTGAGGCAGGAGAATCATTTGAGGCCAGGAGTTCAAGCTTGCAGCGAGTTGTGATTGCGCCACTGCACTTCAGTCTGGGCAACAGAACGAGACCCTATCTTTTCAAAAAGGAAGGCATTAATGGAGGAAATGAAGAATGAAAAGATACAAGACATGTAGAAAACAAATAGCAAAATGGCCTAAGTCTTCCCTTATCAGTAATTACTTTTTTTCTTTTTTTGAAACA